GCATGCGCAGTATGCGTAGCGAGCTGCTGGTGCTGGCTGGCGTAGCATGCTACGCTGGGCGTGGATGCTGGCATCCAGCACAGCAGGCGCAACACATGGGCTGCCTAGCAGCCATGGTGCGCAACCCTCGTGTTTTGAGGGTGTGCCATTTTGCTTAAATTTTGGGCTATCGCTTTTGCAAAAATTTTCCGTTTTAATTTTAATTATTTATTTTAACGAGGTTAGACCTTGATTTTTCGGCTTTTGCAAAATTTTAATTTTGACAAAATTTGGGTTAATCGGCTTAATTTATTAGATTAATTAAGTTGGATGCGGAATTTAGTGGGATCTTGAGTAATTTCGTGAACTAATTTCGCCTTAATAAACATAATATGTTAAACAACTTTGACTAGTTTTAATTAGGCGTGTTAATCGGATTAACCACCTAAGTTAGTTACTAGTTTTTTAGTGTTGTGCAATTTTACTTGTTTTTGTCGTAAATTGCATGGGCCATTCACATATAGTAAATGGGTGAATGAAAGCTTGTTTCATAGGTTTCGTGAAAATGGCAACTAGTGGGGCCCGATTAGGATAGAAAATACGGACTGCGTTCCGTTACGTATTTTTGTAAATCTAAATATGGTCAGCGTACCATTGAGTATTTTTGTACCTTAATATTTAGATTAATCCTAGTCGTAGTAGCTAGTAATTTTATTTTGGCGAAAATGTCTCAAGACGGTGTTTCCATGCTAGTTGCCAAATGCATCTATTTTTATGCTTTATATATATCGTTGTGCTTATATATATATTCTTTGCTAAAATATGCTTGTACGTGATGGGCTACGCCAAAGCGAGGCATCACTACTTCCCTAGGAACGTAAGGTATACTAGGTAACAAGTTAATCTTGGTTAAGCTCAACGATATCAGTAAGGAGTCCTTAGATGTCGTGGAAAAAGAGATAAGACGTCAAGGAAGCATTAGATGCAACGTTTTATCAAACTAAGAGTAGCTTAGAGCTATTAGCAATTGGATTGCTTACCCTACAATATTAAGTGTTAAGACAAGCCAAAGCATGTTTAATCACTTTCTGATTTTTAGGATTTTGGAATCATTTTATTCTCACCAAAAGGGACAAATTATTAATGCGTGGATAAAATGCTCAATATGATTGAAAATTTGCATGAACGCTTTTAAATTTCAAACTTATTAGTTTATGAATGGTTTTTCATTTCAAATTCTTTCAATTGTAGAATCATGTCTGCAAGTAACTCAAACAACAATTCTTTGTACCCGGAACTCCCCGACAAGTTGGCCTTTTGCGTTAACTTGGTTAACTTCAAGGAGTGGGAGGAGGAACTCAGGAAAACTCTTCAAAATTGTTCCTTGGAGTACACTCTTGATACTCCCATTCCAAGCTTCTTCTCTAAGGGGATCATGACCGATGAAGCTCATGAAGAATGGTCTTCCAATTGCAAGAAAGTCTCACGACTTATAGCTAATTCCATCCCGGAAGATTGGAAGGAAAAGCTCTCCTTCTATTTTCCAGACATGTTCCTCAAAGGACTTGACGACGTTGTTAATATAAGAGTCACCAAGAGTGACAATGGCAACTATGATGGACTCGTGTTTGACTTGACTAGGTCACTCTCGAACATGAGGATAAAGCCACCGAAAAAGGGTTGTTTTGCTAAGGAAAGATACCGGCTTTGGTCAAGGGTATGTAATACAAATTGAGACCCGGTATGCCTATTCGACCTCATGTGCTTAGAATGACTAGGCTCTTCAAGCACATGGATCTTCTCGGAATTCCATTGGAAGATGAGATGGCGGGTCATGTCTTGCTTACTTCTCTCTACTCGGGCTATGATGCTCTCAGGGCACATATAGCTGCGAAAGAGGAGACTCACTCTTTAAGAGTTGTGGTAGAGAGGCTTCTCCGAGCCACCTCTCATGGAGCAAGAAAAAGTCCCTTGAAGAAGAAGGTCAAAGCGAAGATGCGATGCTTCTATTGTAGTGAACAATGCCACTACAAGAAGGAATGCAAGCTCTTCCAAGAGGAGGAAGAAAGGAATGTGGCATCTGTCTCAGGTATCTTCCTTAACACTTTTATAAAGCTATTCATAGGTATTGGATACCAAATATGACTCACTTTACGTTGCTTTTTTCAAGAACTAAGTGAGAGGGCTTCACAAGTGGATGTGCAACTACGAGCGGACACAAAGATGGTCTTTTGGTCGTGCTTGTAGGCACATTTATTTTGTCTATGATTTGTAATTAAAGAATGGTTGTTTTCATCATGCTTTTGAACATACTATGATCTGTGGTGTTGGACACCAAGTTATTTTGATCGTAAAACTTTGACAATAGTTGTTTCTAAATGTTTTGTTTATATATAAATTACATGTTTTACATATGATCAAACAAATATTGATACCGCTGAAAAAACTAAGACCATTCATAGTAGATATGGTTATGTCTACCTTATGTCGAATAAATCTGAAACCTTGAGAAATTCAAAGAATTTCAAAGTGAAGTTGAGAATCAACTTGGCAAGAACATTAAAGCACTTTGATCGGATCGAGGTGGCAAATATTTGAGCCATGAATTCGACGATCACCTGAAAGAAAATGGTATTCTTTTAGATTTGACACCTCCTGGAACTCCTTAATTGAACGGAGTATCCGAAAGGAGAAATCAAACCTTTCTAGACATGGTTCCATCAATGATGGGTCTTAGTGAACTTGGGATTGCGAATGAATTATGGACTAAGAAACCTCCAAGGTTGTCTTTTCTTAAGATTTGGGATTGCGAAGCATATGTCAAGCGATTAATTTCTTACAAGCTTCACCCAAAATCAGACAAGTGTTTCTTTCTAGGCTACCCAAAAGAAACCAAGTGGTATTACTTCTACAATATATCCGATAACAAAGTGTTTGTTGCTCGTGATGGTGTCTTTTTGGAGAAGGAACACCTTTCCAAAATGACAAGTGGGAGGAAAATCGAACTCCACGAAGTTTGAGAGGATGAGCAACAGTGTAAACCTGATAAAACTGACAATCGAAATGCTTTAGAAGCAATTGATAAGATTGGTCAGAATCAAACAGATAATGTAAATGCTCAGCCTATTACCCTTCGTAGGTCGCAACGAGCAAGATCTCAACCCGACAGATACCTTGGTATTGTCTTAACCGAAGATCAGGACATCCTAGTCATGGATGGAGATGAGCCAGCGACATACAAACAAGCTATGACGAGCCCCGACTCTGCTAAATTGTAAGAGGCCATGAAATCTGAGATGGACTCCATGTCTGAAAATCAAGTCTGAGACTTGGTAAATTTGCCCAAAGGTTACACACCCATCGGTTGCAAATGGATTTTCAAATTGAAAACAGACAAAGTTTGAAATGTATCAATATACAAAGCTAGACTGGTGGCAAAAGGTTACATGCAAATCCAAGGGATTGATTATGATGAAACGTTTTCGCCAGTCGCAATGCTTAAGTCTGTCCAGACATCCTAGCGATTAATGCATATTATGATTACAAAATATGGCAAATGGACGTCAAAACCTCCTTCCTTAATGGGATTTTGGAAGAAACTGTGTATATGACACAACCGAAAGGTTTTATTGATCCAAGCAACGCTTGAAAGGTATGCAAGCTTAAAAAGTCCATTTATGGACTAAAGCAGGCAGGCAGAAGTTGGAATCTGCAATTTGATGAAGCCATTAGTAAGTTTGGATTTATTAAGAATTCAGATGAGTCTTCTGTTTACAAGAAGGTCAGTTGGAGTGACATCGCATTCCTAGTCTTACATGTCAATGACATGTTGCTCATTGGAAACAGCACAAAATTATTAGAGTCCGTAAAGGGTTGGCTGGGAAAGTTCTTTTCAATAAAGGACTTAGGAGAGGAATAGTACATAATGTGCAACAAGATCTATAGGGATAGATCTAAGAGGATTATTAGATTGAGCTAGAGTACTTACATTGATAAAGTACTAGCACGATTCAGCATGGAGAATGCCAAGAGAGGGCACCTACCCGTGTCCCATGGCGTAACTCTTAGCAAGAAACAGTGTCCACATACATCTGTTGAGCGGGAGAGAATGAATCAGATACCATTATGCTTCGCTAATTGGATCGATCATGTATGCCATGATATGTACTAGGCCTGATGTATCGTACGTCTTAAGTGCTACGAGCCGATACCAATCAGACCTAGGAGAGGCGCATTGGACTACGGCCAAGAATATCCTTAAGTACCTGAAAAGGAATAAGGATAAATTCCTAGTCTATGGTGGCCACAAAGATTTGGTTGTTGAAGGTTACACCGACGCTAGCTTCCAGACTGACAGAGACGACTTCAAGTCACAGTCAGGGTATATAATTTGCCTAAATGGAGGAGCGTTTAGTTGGTAGAGTGCCAAGCAAAGCACCACTGCAGATTCTACCACGAAAGTCGAATACTTGGCACCTTCGGAAGCAGCCAAGGAGGCAGTTTTGATTCGTAAGTTCGTTAGTGAACTTGGTGTTCAACCAGAGGGTCTAATAGACCTTTATTATGACAACAATGGAGCTATTGCTCAGGCTAGAGGGCCAAGAGAGCACCAGAAGGTCAAACATGTCCAAAGGCGATTTAACATGATAAGGGAATGGAAATCCGAAGGTGAAATCAGAATTTGTATGATTAGAACGGATGATATTGTGGCCGATCCTTTGACTAAACCTCTGCCTCAAGTGAAGCACAACAAGCACGTCGAGGCAATGGGAATCAAGCATGTTGGAGTTTCACTAGTAGAAAAAATCAAATATGCACCCCCCTTTTAGCACCGAATCTTGAAAACCGGTGCCAAAAGAAATGGGCGGGATTGGAATATAGGGTGTTGGCACCGGTTCCAACCAAAACTGGTGCCAACTCATTTAATTAGCACCGGTTCAAACCGGTGCCAACCTTTAAATTAAAAAAAAAACAAAGAAAGCAATAGAGTTGGCACCGGTTCGCCTTAAACCGGTGCCAACTATAGTAATTAACACCGGTTTGAACCGGTGCCATTTAAAATAAAGCCCGGTTTAAGGCGCGTCTTCTTCTTCAATTCTTTTCCTTTCTCTTTCTTCTTCGTTCTCATCTGATCTGCCTCTATCTTTCCTCCATTGTAGCGTAATCGAATTTCTCCATTAAAGGGGCTTTTGAGCTTTCCTAACACTACATCTCTCTCTTTCGATGTCCTTCTCCATAACCGTCCCTTTCCCTTTCCTTTCTTCTCTCTTTCGATCTCCTTCTCCTTCTCCTTCCCTCATTCTACAATATTAGAGGTTTGGGTTTCTGGGTTCGTCTATTTGATCAATTCGATGTGCGTGCGTCTTCAACTACAACAAATTCGAATCAATTTCGAACCAAAAATCAGAAATTCGAGGTTTGGGTTTCTGGGTTTTTTAGCTTTGCGTTATATTGTAGCAGTTCTGAGCTTTCTCCTACATTGAAACAACTTTTAAGGTAATGTTTTTTAATCAATGAAGTTTTTTAATCAATGAATATCAATTTCTCTAATTATTTGTGTTAGTTCTAATTTCCTTAATTTCTGGTGAGAAAATGCTGAAAAAGTTGTAATAACTTAATTTGGGTCTTTTTTGTTTTTGTTTTGTGGGTTGTTTATGGTAGGCAAAAAGAGCTTTCTTCTCACTTGCTAAGGTTGCTTTCTATTGCTGATATCAAAGCTCATATTAAGTAGAAATATTCACTTGTATTTAGATACTATAATAAAGTGTTAAGAGCTAGTCACAAGGAGGAGATCTGTGGAAGTAGACTGATGACAGATATTGAATGTTTTGATATCCTTCTTGATTGTTGGATACATTTTTGAATGAAGTTGTATGAAAGAAGTAGAATATATGTAGAGAAGCAATGGACATGCTTGCTGCCTTGCAGGTTGTGTAAGTAGTCTTAATTGATTACTTGCCTGAAATAAAAAAATAGTATTATTGTGTTGATGCCAGTCAATGACAGATTACTACTCTGGCTTGAAACTAGAGTATTTCATTGAAGGTGTATAAATTATTATTTGTATGTCTCTTTGTTCTGCTATCAGATATTAAGATTTGGATATTAATGTTGTTGACTTGTTAGCTCATCTTTAAGCAGCTCTCAGTTCTCAGTTTCTTATACTCTTACACTACACAGAATTCACCTTTCCTAGTTTGTTATGTACAGTATGCAGATAGAAAATGTGTTCAGCGCTGGTGCAATGAGAAAGGAGACATAACATTGCCACCAGGCATGCTAAAAGTATTCTTATTTATACATTTCATCTGACAAATGGCTGTGAATTGGAGTATTTCGTAATTCATGCTGATTGTTTTGGTTGTGGCAATTGCTCCTATAACCTTTAACCTTAAGAGTAAAAGTACAGAGTACTATGTTTAGGAGATCTTTTAGGCCATTGTGGTCTTCTTAATTTAGTTCAGCATCTAAATTCAGGTTTGTTTGTTTTAATTCAATGTTCATTTATTTTTTATTAATTTGCTATCATTTAAATTCAATTTCATTTTTAGAGCATTATATGGGTATTTTTGTGCTGCTTATGTGAAGAATTATGGTGTTATTTTCTAGTTTATTGTTGCAATTTTTGCTTGAATTTGATGTTCTATAGAAGATCAATTTTTTTGCCTGGCATATTGGTATTTTTTTTTGCACAGCATCATAAACCCCCGTTATCCCCCCTTACATTTTTTTGGCTTGTAGCTACCCATTTGTACTGATTATATCTCTTCACAGACTGCATCAACTTTGGAGGCAGCTGTCTGTGATGCATCCATGTTTGGAATTTTTGGGCGTTCACTTGGTTTATGATCTTAAGGAACTCTTAAATGTTACTCTGAATTGATAACGATGGTGAAAAGGTTTTAGGAGAAACTTTAGACATTCAAACGGTTGTGGCTGAAAGCTCTATACTAGGCTGTTTAAGCAAGTTGCATTAGCTCCTGATAGAAAAACTGAAGAACACCTTATAAATAAATTAAATACTAAAATGAAAACATGGTATGATTATCTTGCTGAACGTAAAATGTTTATCCATAGACTCATCGTTCAACTTGACTAGTAGCTTCATTTATCTGTAGATCTGCTTACTTTTTCGTGTCCTATGCTCATGTTGTTTCTTCAAGAAAGGACTTTTAATTCAGTGGTTTGGTAGTCAAGTGAGCTACAAAAGCCTTTTGTACCTATATTTGATCACCATGTGCTCACTAATTGCAGAAATGCAACAGAGCCTGGAAGGTTTTTAAAGTTGAACATAGTAAGGTGCGAGAGAAGTTTTTTGCTACATACGGGAAGCGCTGCCAGAATGTGTAGGGTTTTGTAGTGACCCGACACTACGCGGAAGGAAACCCACCCAGACCCGCCCCATAATTAAAACAATTAACAAGCATATTAAACTTAATCAAACAAGATTAAGAACAAGAATTATACCTTTGTCGCGTGCTTCACTCCCAAAGAGCTCTTACTTCAAAATCCCGAAAACACGAGATCTCCCACGGATCGTACCCTCGACCCAACCCGAGCGTCCTAAGTCTTGAAGGTTAGTCAAGACCCGGACAAAATAACTGTGAGTTTTACGAATCAAAGGTTTACTCTTACTTAGAGTTGCCTATTTAATTCCACTCAAGGTTGTATTCTCAAAATCCCAACCAAGTGGGTATTTATAGAGAATGGGGACTTGAAACCCATTTTCATGATCAATGTGGGATCATGTGTAATCGCAATAATTTATTTAATTCCAAAATAACTAATTAGGCAAAAGCAATCACAAGGCAACAAGTTGCAAGAGGAGAGAATGGGTTAGGTGAGGACCATATCCCATGGAGGGACCATTGCCTTGCTCCTCAAGGGAAGCCTAGAGGCTTTGGTCCCCACCTCTCCTAAACCGCCACTCACAAGGCAGCTAGGCTGGCTGCCACCTGGTACTGCTAGCACACCCAGCCAGCAAGCACCATGCTGACTAGCAGCTCCCTCGCATGCATGGTGTTGGTGCGTGCTGGCGCTGGTGCTGGTGTATGCCAGTGCTAGGCGATGGTGCGTGCTGGCGCTAATGTTGGCCCTAGCGTCCCACGCACCACACGCATCATCGCTGCATCCTTCGCATATGCTCGCACACCCAGCCAGCTAGCACCACTCGCCCATGCTCGCACAGCTACGCGCATCCAGGCCAGCACGCACTAGCGCTGTGCTTGGTGCGTGGCCTGCGATGGTGCCTATCACACACGCAAGGCCAGTGCTGCCTGACAGCTTGCTGCGCTATGGTGCACACGCACACGCACACACGCATGCGCCTAGCACTACGATGGTGTTGTGCGTGGTGCTAGGGGGCTGCGATAGTGCCCATGCTTATGCACACACACATGGGTGCTGTGCTTGGTGCGATAGGGCTGCGATAATCCCTTGCATTATGCTAGGGCTGCGATGAGCTAGCCTAGCCTAGCTACGGCTACGCTCATACTTGTTGCTTGTGATTTTGCGACGCTTGGTCTCGACGCCCTAGGCTCGATATCCGACGTTTGTATTCGTAAAACTCTACTGACTCATTAAATCCTTTCTGATTAATTCGTCGTCTCGGATCGGTGATTCGATTGGGTTCGACCCGAAGGGTTCAGTTAAGATTAAGCTGTAACATCAATTGTACATTGATATTACTGATCGGAAGCGGCGTCCACCTAGGCATTCCGATCACTTGATCTTACAGAAGAATTAGCTCTGTAATAATCCTGAACCCTTTATCGGAAGAATACACTTGTTGGATGGACACCATTCCTTTCAATCTCCCACTTGTCCATCCGGACAAGTGTGGATACAGTGTATAGCTCATTTCCTATGTCACTTAATGTTTCGTCGTGAACTATAAGGTAAGATTCTTTGTCATCCTTATTACGTTCAGAAGTGTTTCTCGATCTCCGAGTTCGACTGTCAATAAGCAGATGATTTCTAAAATCTATCTGAGCACGGCCATGCATTTTCACAGTCTCGCTCTTCGAGCGGCCTTGTAAACAACAAAACATTTTCCCTATTGTTAGTAGGGGGACTATCCCAGTCTTGTATTGTAAGTTCTTCTTACTAAGAAGACATAGTCTCCTGAGTGTTCCCGTTATGATCCCCAGTTACGGCAGAAGTTTAGAAACATCAAAGAGTCTAGTACTCAAACAAGAAAACTTCATAGTACTCATGGTCGGAGGAAACAAGTTTCGATAGTCATAATGAGAAATGTACTTGTGACAAAATTTAAATTTTCATAAAGTACTCTCATAGGTCTTATCCAGTATAGTTCCAAACTGTGCCTGTTCAAATGATTTATGACCGTCACGTCCTCGCAGCACAAGAAACGGTGCTGTAAATCATACTACACACTAATCTATGGCGGTCATCAATCGTCCATCTGTTAGATGACGTCGATTAAGGATAATTTTCGATTTAAACATTCAATGTTCACTTAACAGTTTTTTCTTTATCCAAGACATGGTCTTGATACCCTGTTTTGAATATTTCCGTAAATCGAATGGACTCATTATTTAATTCTAAACCACAATTAAATACTAATGGAGTGAATGATAATTTTGCACAAAATTAACTACTCCATTAATGAATGGTTTTAATACAGTGTCTTACATTAAATATCCTATTTAATTAAAACACATGTACAGGGAATTTCAAAGCCAGTCTCTAACATGCTTGATTCCCATCGCCTCAATGTGCTTGTTGTGTTTCACTTGAGGCAGCGGTTTAGTCAAAGGATTACAAATTCTGATTTCACCTTCGGATTTCCATTCCCTTATCATGTGAAATCGCCTTTGCACGTGTTTGACCTTCTGGTGCTCTCTCCGCTCCCTGGCCTGAGCGATAGCTCCATTGTTATCACAATAGAGGTCTATAGGCCCCTTGATTTAGGGTACAACACCAAGTTTGCTAATGAATTTGCGAATCCAAACAGCTTCCTTGGCAGCTTCTGAAGCGGCCACGTATTCGGCTTCAGTTGTAGAGTCTGTAGTGGTGCTCTGGTTGGCACTCTTCCAGCTAAACGCTCCTCCATTCAGACAGAATATGTACCCCGACTGTGACTTGAAGTTGTCTCTGTCAGTCTGGAAGCTAGCGTCGGTGTAACCTTCAACAACCAGTTCTTTGTGATCTCCATACACCAAGAATTTATCCTTGTTCCTTTTCAGGTACTTAAGGATGTTCTTGGCCGCAGTCCAATGCGCCTCTCCTGGGTTCGATTGGTATTGACTCGTTGCACTCAGGGCATACGATACATCTGGCCTTGTACATATCATGGCATACATGATCGATCCGATTAGCGAAGCATATGGGATCTGATTCATTCTTTCTTGCTCAACAGGTGTCTGTGGACACTGTTTCTTGCTAAGAGTTATGCCATGGGACATGGGTAAATGCCCTCTCTTGGCATTCTCAATGTGGAATCGAGCCAGTACCATATCAATGTAAGTACTCTGGCTTAATCCAATCATCCTCTTAGATCTATCCATGTAGATCTGGATGCCTAATATGTACTATGCCTCTCCTAAGTCCTTCATTGAAAAGCACTTTCCCAACCAGCCCTTTACGGACTCCACAATTTTGTGCTGTTTCCAACGAGAAGTATGTCATCGACATATAGGACAAGGAATGCAATATCACTCCCACTGACCTTCTTGTATACACAAGATTCATCTGGATTCTTGATAAAAGCAAACTTGCTAATCGCAGATTCAAACTTCTGCTGGCTTTCTTTAGTCCATAAATGGACTTCTTTTGCTTGCAAACCTTTCCAGCGTTGCCTGGATTGACAAAACCTTCTGGTTGTGTCATATACACAGTTTCTTCCAAAATTCCATTAATGAAGGCGATTTTGACTTCCATTTTCCATATTTCATAATCGTAATATGCATCAATCGCTAGGATGATCCAGACGGATTTTAGCATTGCAACTAGCGAAAACGTTTCGTCATAGTCAATCCCGTGGACTTGTCTATAACCTTTTGCCACCAGTCTAGCTTTGTATATTGATACATTTCCATCCTTGTCTGTCCTCACTTTGAAGATCCATTTGCAACCAATGGGTGTATAACCCTCGGGCAAATTCACCAAGTCCCAGACTTGATTTTCAAACATGGAGTCCATCTCGGATTTCATGGCCTCTTGCCACTTTGCAGAGTCGGGGCTTGTCATATCTTGCTTGTATGTCGCCGGCTCATCACCATCAATGACCAGGATGTCTTGATCATCGGTTAAGACGATACCGAGGTATCTGTCTAGTTGAGATCTTTGTTGTTGCGACCTACGAAGGGTAATCGGTTGAGCATTTACATTGTCTGTTTGATTCTGACCAATCTTCTCAGCTGCTTCCAAAGCACTTAGATTGTCAGTTTTATCAAGTTGACATTGTTGCTCGTTCTCTCGAACTTCGTCGAGTTCGATTTTCCTCCCACTTGTCATTTTGGGAAGGTGTTCCTTCTCCAAAAAGACACCATCATGAGCAACAAAAACTTTGTTCTCGGATTTATTGTAGAAGTAAT